CCGTGCTGTGCGGGACGTGCGGGCAGCCGGCCGACAAGGCGACTGCCAGCAGCTCGGCGGCCCAGCTGGGCGGATCCATCTCCTCCGGCTCCTCCGCCTCCAGCGTCACGGTCACTCGCAGCTACCGCAGTGTGGGGGGCAGTGGGGGTGGCAGCTTCGGGGACAGCCTGGTCACCCGCTCCTACCTCCTGGGCAGCTCCCGCCCCCGAACCCAGGTGAGTCGTCCCTAGGCAGGACCTGGTCACGGAGGCTCAGGACGCGGCGGCCCTGGGGACAGAGCCTTCTCTTCCGCAGCCCGGCGGAGTGGGAGCTCCCCTAAGCCTGGGTCCCGCACAGCTCACACCTACCTCCCGCCCCTCAGGTCTGAGCCCCAGACCGGAGGGCCGGGCTGGCGCAGGGCGTGGCCTTCCCTAGGCCAGGGAGGGAAGGGGCCAGGGCAGCCCGGCTCACGCGGTCCCCTCTCTTCTCTCTTAGAGCCCCCAGAACTGCAGCATCATGTAATCTGGGACCTGCCGGGCAGGGCTGAGGCGGAGGCCCCTGGTCTCCTGCTCCCTTCTCACCTCGTGCCCACCCCTGCCCTGCCCCTCATGGGAGCAGGCTTGACGCCAAAGAAAAACACCCGCTTTGGTTTTTTTTCTTCTTCTTCTATGTTTTTTTTCTAAGAGAAGTTATTTTCTACAGTGGTTTTATACTGAAGGAAAAACATAAGCAAAAAAAAAAAAAAAAAAAGTCTATCTCAATCCTGATTTCTCCCCCTTCCTTCCTTTCCCTGCTTCCAGGAAACTCTACGTCTGCCTTAAATACCAAAGAGGGCTTCCTCTAGGAGCTAAGGGGAAGGGACCCCGTCACAGACCTAGTTTCTTCTTTGCTGCCCCGCTGTCCCCCACCCCGGGGACCCCATGACATGGTGCCTGAGGGAGGCATGGAGCCTTCAGCTGCCGGGCCAGCCTGAGAGGGGAGGCCAGCTCGGGTTCCCGAGTGGGCCGAGGCTCCTGCCTGCCCCTCCTGTCCCCCCCTGCCCAGCCCGGGGTGAGTCCCTGGCCCCCTGGCCCCCTGCGCTTGCTTCTGTGCATTTCCTTTAGACAAGAGATGGGAATGTGGGGGCGGTGGGAGACGGGAGGGAAGCCGTTGGACCCCACCTCCCCAGCTTCAGAGCCCGGCTGGGCTCTGTCCAGTTGCTGGAGATCGGAGGTCAAGGGGTGTGGGGAGAGGGAGACCCGGAAAGCTGACAGCCCAATGGGAGGAAGGCAGGGGCGGGGAGCATGAGTGGTTACTGGCAAACACTAAGGAGCCCTTGGCCAGCCTGTTTCCCATCCGCACCCCTCCTCCCCGGATCAATACACTAGTTGTTTCTACCCCGGCTGCCTGGTGTCTTTGTCAGTGGGCGTCACCGCGTGTCCCGAGGGAGGGGCAGACGGCACACAAGTGCTGGCTTCGCATGGGCACTGCTGCAGCCCCTCCTTGCTCTGCACTCAGGCTGTGACCTCCCTCGGGATGTGGGGACCCCACACCCCCCAGAGGTGAAGCATTTCCTGCCTAACTCCCACCAGCACTGGTCACTCACAGTGGGGCCCTGGACACCTCAGAATTTAGGGCCCAAGATGGGAGGGAAGGAGAGAAAGCTGGACAGGGCTGGTCTCACAGCAAGCAGTTAATGTCGCATTGGGCCACACTGCTCAGCTTGGGGGACGAGGAAATGAGCAGGACCACACATTCAGGGTCGTCAGGGAGCCCCCACTGCAGTGGGGGTGAGGAAACTAAGGGGACAAAGTGCTGGGGCCGATCCGGCACCTCTGAGGGAAGTGGCTGATGGTGAGGAGCTGAGGAGGAGAAGGCCCCAGGCAGGGGAGCCAGCTCTGCCCAGACCTCACCCGTCCTGTGCTGTCATTTTACCCGAGACCCGTGGAAGGGAGCTCCTGTCCCCTCTGACCTGGAGTTGGAGGCCCTGGGCTAGAGTGGGGTGCAGAGATCTGACAATTGGCTACAGAGCCCTGCTCTTGTGACATCACACTTCTCCCTGAACACAATATATTGGTGGTAAAATGTAAGTGTACTTTCTCTGGCAGAGGAGTTAAACTGTAGCCCCCCAAAGTGAGAGGGCTGGGGTGCGGCTCAGTGGTAGAGCTCTTGCCCTGGATTTGGTCCCCAGCACTGCAAAGAAATAACAAGTCAGGGAGGAAAGGGGGCATGCCTGGGGGGGTGGGGGAAAGCAGAATAAAGAAGGGAGCCGCAAGTCCGACTGGAAATCCTCGATTTTCCCGGGCCCGAGCCCGCTGGAGGAAGAAGTGCCATA